CCTGCCCTTTTTCCTTTAGGACGGGTTACATGGTGGGTTTGGTGTGTGCCATGTTGAACCAAAAGAAAATGTGTTCTAAAATTCATTAAATCTTTAAAAACTTGTTAACTGATTATCTGCTCAGAGGTAAAAATAAGAAAACATTTTATGACCACTTCCTCGAAGCTTTGTGCATATTTTACAGCACAGTTTTTCAGTTTTTCAGTCCAACAAGACTAACTAGAAATATGTACTTGCTATTTAAAAGATTTATTCTCACAAGTACCTGATATATATAAGGTAGAAAGCAAGTCTCATGAGACAAGTACCTGCTGCTCTCAGAAGTGCTCCACTCCACATTTATGGTTCTCTTTGTTTCCTTAAAAACAAATGTAATTCATCTTTTCTCTTGCCAGTCCTATTTGTGAATTTGAAACTAAACATTTGTATGCTATCACTCTGTATGGCATCACTTCATTGATGGAGAGCTATGCATGGAGAAAGTGTGAGACTTTCCCCCTGAAGAAACTCTATTATGCACAAAAGCTGCTATAGGTATATAATATTTATGTGCTCTTCTGCAAAATCTTATTTGAGACATGCATTTGTATGGCATGCACTAATACAAGTGACAAAAGATTCAGCAATGTCAAATTCTGTAAACAAACCACTCCAAGGAATTAACATTAACACATAATTATATGTTTTTACCATGTCAGACATGTCACAAAAAAAAGAACTTGAATTGTGATTATAGTAATTAATTTTTCCTCTCTTATTTGAAACATGCCAACTTATTATGGCATTGAGGATGATAGATTCTGGCCTGCCATTTTAGTGCCTCATATATTTACATTTCTGTATGAGGAACCATTAGTAAAAGATGTTAAGAGGATGAGATCTATATACAAACATATATTTAAGTATGACCACTGTCTTTACACTAAGACATGGAGGTCATTAAAAAAAAGAGGGAAGGCTAGGCAAGAAAAATAAAGCAAAGCAGAGATTTTGTCCTGAAAATCAGGTAGGTCCAGAAATCCAAAAAAAAGTGCTGAAAAGCAGGATTGTTGGGAATTGTAGCAGTTTGACAAGAAAAAAATGTAATTTTTCCATCTGCTGTTAATCTGACCATCTTTTTCTATATTAACAGTGTGCCCAAGGTGAGTGGGTGGCTGAACTTCCAGTTCTATGGCATTCTTTCTTCTTTAGTTTTTCAGTTCTGAAGTGGAAATTTCCAAGTTTTGACATACAATGTACAGGTAAAAAAAGGTGAGAAAAAGAAAAAAAGGAGAAGTGGAAAGATAGTGATTCAGATGATGGGAAACTGTTTCCAAATACTGTTACCAAAAGCACATATTCAGGTGCACTAATACAGTGTGATTTTATCAATAAGCCCAAGGGGCGTCTTCTTTGCCGCCACCCCCTTCCCCAAGTCTCGCGCTCTGCCTGCCTGATCCCATCCGACAGTAGAGCTGATACCGCACTAATCCCCGCAAGTTTGGGACTAATGAACTAACTGCTGGGCTGCCGCCACGGAGCTTGGTCCCAAACTATACTGTACTTCACACTCGATTTATTCTCCAGATGGCGAGACTGCGCAGCCCTGCCGCGAGGGACCACCTCTTCCACTGGAGTGTAAAAGTGGACGGATGTTGTTTTCTTTGCAGATTTGATAATTCAGAGCTAGAAACTCATGAGGATGGTTAGTTATTAGGTTTAATGGGTGCCAGTGGAGCCGGCAATGTGCGTATTCCCATTTTTAATTTCGGTGCGTGTGTGTTTGGGTAGCAATGGATTTGTCAGCAATGCTGCGTCACCAAAACCTTTATCTTCACCAGTTGGCATAGCTGCACGTGGTAATGAACTTCTTCCTGTGTCCTCCTCAGGGTCAAACAGAAGAGGTGCTAAAGTAGTCACCCTGACCAACCATTTTATTTTCCTCAGTAAGCTTTCCAGCACAAATTTAAAGTTTTTTAATAGTATCACTATTTACCATGAAGCTCTCTGTTGTCTTTCTCTCATGTTCAGTTTGATAAGTAACGCAATTCACATGGGACCCAAGGAGGATACCACCATCCCAAGCTATTTGAGCATGAAATATTTTACTTAATGATTGAGTTTATTCCTTTATCAGCTATTCTTTTATTACAAACTATTATCTGACGTTATAGTTCTCATGCGAAGAACAGGGCAAATATTTTTCTCACTATTCCTGAAAAATCCTAGTTTTCTCATTCTTGGCAGTAAGGATATTATTGTTCAAGGACTACCTTTTTCTCTGTTACAATTTTGGAGTAGTTTATCTAGGTTAGGATTTTAGCTGTTGCATGAATTCTACAATAAGAATAGCATCTACATTTCCCTGTCTAATGAGGCAGAAGGGGCTCTCCCTTTTCTCCATGTTTTTAGCACATTTGGTCAAAGGTTTTAGTATATAATTTTTTTATTTACCCATGAAATGTTTTATTGGAAACCTTTATGGGAACCTGATACTCCCCACTAACATCAGTTGGATTTGCTCCATTGTAGGAAGGGTAGGCACAGAGTCAGCCCCCTCCCAGGCTCTGGCTTTGACAGTCAGGTCCCATCAGTTTGTTCCAGAATTAAAACCATGAATTTATTCTTGCTGTGGAAACTGTAGTGACTAGAAGTATTATATCATGGAAAGGAAACATTTCCATTCCTGGGGTATCTAGGCAGACAGATCTAATACATAGTGGTTTCTAAGAAAATGCATCAATTCTCAACCCAACAGATGGCATGGGTGTGTTAACTAACATAGCAACATATTTTCTATTAAAATATGGGAAAAAACATCAACCCCCTCCCCATGTTTGTTGCTTGGTATAAATTCAGTGAAGTTGTTGGTTATTTTTGGGATACGTACCAGAGGGCTGCACATTTAGTTTATGTAAATTGATAACAGCAACAGCCTGTTAATAAGTGTTTTGTATGGAAATATACCTAGAAAGACACGATCTGTCTTTTTTGGGAAGGGAGTTTGCAGACTGAGGAGAAAAATAGATATGAGATGCTCTAGTGCTCATTATTATACTCTGAAAAAAAAATCATAACAAATTAGGCTGCAAGTTTGCTGGAGATGTGCCTTCAGCTGGAATTGAGCGCTGCCTTAAGTGATACTTTGGGACGATCTCTCTTTTGCAAATTGCATCGGTGTTTGCTGAAACGGTGATAATCTTACTTTAATTAAAAACATAAATTGGTTTGGAGCGTGTTTTTAAGCCACCCTTCTGCTTCATGTCCAGAAACTTTCAGCCCAGCCCTAGAAACCCATTACCCCAGGTAAGAAAAGGAAAACATAGGGGATTTGTATTTCCCAGTACTGGCATCATATGGTTGGGTTTACCTAATTTGGAAGAGCCATTTCAGACAGCCATGCACCAGAGCTGTCTTCCAGCTGGACATGCTTGTACTAAACTGCGTGCATCTTTATGTGGGTTTCCTAATGGCTCCAGACAGAGTCCATTCACAGCAGTTCAAGTGGTTTGGGTTGCAGAGATTCCCTCTGAACATGCCCCTTGATCGCAGCCCAGGGATACATACGTGGGTGCCTTGTTCCCGTCTGTCCGATTAATGGGCATATGCTCCCAGCCTTCGGAGGAGCACAGCTAGTAGCCCCAAGCTGGAGGTTGTTCGCTTCAGATTTCATTAACTTTCTGCTTCATTATTCCTTCCTTTCAACCAGTTAGAGCCACGAATTGCTTTTCTCTAAACTTACCCTAATTATCAGGGGTCCCAGCCCTGTAAATCAGTACACTGCAGAGCTGTCTTAAACTGGCCTGGGAGACCCTGTCCTCATCGGTCCTGACAACTGTAAGCTACTGTTCCCTCACACTGTTTAACTCAGACCACATTGGGAAACCACCTCTTCCCCTCTTGCCGGCAGAGGTTTGCATCCGTCTGGTTTAAATCTACTGTCATGTGCTCTCTTGCTGATTTGTATTAGCCTGAATATTAACTTTGATGATTTTTGTTGTTGTTGTTGTTGTTGTTGTTGTTGTTTTTTACCCTTTTTTCTTGAAAAGCATCTCTATTCAGCAACTGCATATTGTTAAAGTAATTCCTGAGCCTCCATGAGTCAGGAGCTTTAAAGTTTTATTAGCCCCATAAAAAGTCTTCACAAATGAAATGATAAGTGTGCATTTTGACAATGCAAATTTGTTAGGGGCTGTTGGTGAGTGGAAGGAATTTGGGGTTGAAACTTCAGTTGGCAGGGAGCAAGGATCCCAGCATCTTCCTTCAACCCCTACCCCTTCTCTAGACCAAGAAATGCATTTCATTTCAGAAAAGCATGCCAGTATTCTTTATGAAAATCAACTGTTAAACAGATTTGTAAATTTACATTCACAAAAACAGCAAATGACCAGGAGAAGTGTGTGTCTTTGGAGATTTTATTTTGTGCCAACAGAATACCCTTTCATGTGGTCAAAGAAAAACCTTGGAGTTATTTCAGCATTTTATATGCAAGTTGTGAATTCTATCACTGCCTTTGATGCACTTTGAATACATGGAGTCAAGGAAAACCAAATAGGTGTGTATATATATATATATATATATATGTACATTTTTACATTCAGGCAAAATTACAGAGCTAAATTACAAAAATTATTTTTAATGCAAATTTAAGAATATGCCATTTTTGAGAGAACAGGCAGTTAGTGCAACACATTTTGTTAGCATAAAGATTTGTGTTTGTTACACATGTTCAGCACTAGCAGACACAAAACCCTTGTTTTCTGCAAGTAGTAAAAATCCCATTCATTGAATTTACCAGTTATAAAGAAACAGTAAAAAGGAAGGTAAAATTGTGTGGTTCTGATGATGACTGCTTCAATAAAGTCCAAGAGTAACAGACATTTTGGGGAAACCACTATACTGGCTGTCTAGCTTTCCCCCCATGTGATTTCAACAAGTTTTCTTCTCAGTGTATTTTTCTGTCAATAGAAAATATGCTTTCTTTTTCTTTTCTTGTGCATCTGAACTCATATGTACTGCAGAGAGAAGCAAGACTGAGCATCGTGAAAACCCTTGAAGAGTTTGACTTTGGCCATGCTGAAAAATGTGTCAGGATAAACTCTGTGTCCAGTGGCCTTGCAGAAGAAGATCTAGAGGTGATTTTGCAGTCCAAGACTCTTCCTTCAAGCATGATGCTGCCAAAGGTTGAAAATGTTGAGGAAATAAGATGGGTGAGTACCAACAACACAGTAGCTTTTGACTGAAGCTGTTGGGCCAAGTTCACCAGGTGCAGAGATGAATTACTGTGAGTTAAGAGGAAGGCTGCAAATACCATATGATGTTGCTGCTCGTCTGAGGTAACTGGGCAGTGCATCCACTTAAATGTGTGTGTGACGTGCTGTATAAAGAGCAAATATGGAACACGTTTATAAAGAAAACCAGGTGTATTTCTCCCACAGTTGACAAAGAACCAGTATGGCTGTCAGATTATATTATCAAAAGTAGAAGGGTAAGTGCCTGACTCTTCTCAGACTACCCTAACAAGCAAAATTGTCTGCCCAAGAGCCTTAGTTATGTGCATTGGAAGCAGGAGTTGGGAAACCATGTTAGCAACATATGAAAAAATGGGTTGGGGGGAAGGTCACTCCTTGGGGCAACTGGAGGAACAAACAGGAAGCTTTTAACTAGTGTTTTTAATTAGCACAGATATTATTTCCTGAACAGTTCTCTACTTCTTCCTTTTTAATTGCTGACAGGTGTGTTTGTGTTTCACAACTGACTTTTCAGCCAATAAAAACCTGAAATGTAAATGGTTGGCATGTCAAATTACTTAAGAAAACTTTGAAATAGGCCTAATTATGCTGTAATTGTTTTAATTGTCAAAAAAGAGGGATACTTGTTTGAATACACCATTATTGCTGTAACACACCAGTAAAGGAATAATGCTTAATTATTCACTTTGTATATTTGCAAACCACTAGCTAAGCAACTAGTAAGTGTGCAAGCTGTGATGCAAGGCAGGCAGGCGTGTGAGGATCTATTTTAATCTCAGCACCTAACCTTGATCAAACCATGGAGCTGGGCCTGAACGCACAAGGGAGCACAGCCCCGTTCTCCGGGTGCGTGACGGACCCCGTCCGTTCCATGGCGCTGCCCCTTCGGCCTCCACCACTCGCCATGGAAGGTTTGCCATCCCCTTCCACCAATGGGTAATTAAATTAACCAGAGTGCACCTCTCAGGGTTTACAGCCGTGTAAGTGTTAGACAGAACTTGTCAGTGATGAATATTCATGATACCAAAATGGCAGAGCCCTCGCTGCCACCAAGTAGGTTTTGCAGGGAGATGAGATGCCAGGGCTCTTTGTGCCCTCATCCTCTTCTGCTTTCCCTGTCACTAAGTTTCATTTCCATCATGGAAAACAAGCCAACCCCAGAAGCTTCTGCCTCATTGTCCTTCTTTTGCTTCGCTCCCCCTTTGCCCAACCTTTGCACACAAAGAACATACTCTGCCTAACACCGCTGCCTTCTTTTCCCAATCCTCAAAAAATTCACTCCAGCATGATTTTTCAGCCTCCCAGAAGCTGTTTCTTTCCCCCCACGCACACCCGCTCCCCCCCTTCATTTTTATTTATGTGCAGCAGAAAACCTGGAGGCTGATGCACAACTAAAAGATGGGCTTACTTGTTTTCTTTTGTGTGAGAATCTCTTGCTTTCCTTTTGTCCCTAGTGTGGGTACTTGTTTGACTGGCATGGCTTATTGGACTATAACAAGCGTAACTCTCCCTCCTTTGTGGCGGGACAATTCTCCCACAAATCCCGACCAGTGTGCATTCTTCCCGACACACTATTGGGTGTGCACTGGAATTGAAAGAATTGCTGAGGCCTTGCTACTTCATCCCCTCCCCAAGCTTTGTGGGGTTTTTTTCTCCTCCGCCTTCTTCTTTTTTTTTCCCCTTTCTCCCTGAAATGAACACTTTACCGGGCCGGAAACATTTAATCGTCTCCTTTTGAAAAAAAAAAAATTAATTGAAACTTCTCCACTCGTTACCTTTTGTATTGGTGCTTATTGCAAATCTTTTACAAGGGAGAGAAAGGGAGGCAATATTTAATTAAATGTGCTTTTTTTTTGCTTTACCTTCAAAACAAAAGATAGCAAAAATTCCAGGAGTGTAACTTTTAAAATATTTTAAAATAAACAAGAATTCTACTATTTAACTTGCACCTAAAATATACACACATTAGCACTTTTTACTTTTTTTCTCTTAAAAAACTAAAAATCAGGTAAGAGTCTTAAGAAGATAAACTGATACTATTATATTACCTCATTTTCTTCATTTGCGTGGGTGAACTTTACTGTTTTCTGTCACTGTAGTAACCTGCCATACTGTACAGAGTGAATTGAATTGATTTTTTTCCTCCTTGCACATTTTTGAGTAGAATTCTCCTCACTAAAGAAAAGTTACCAAGAGGGCCATGGTGATGATGCAGAGCAGAGATGGGAGGGCAGAATTCTTCATCGGAGAAAGCTGTGATTTATTTTGGCCTAATTGTAAAGTTACTGAAAATTGCTGGAAACCGTTTTTTTTTTCAAGATCTGGGTGATTAGATTTTCCTTCTTTTGGGGAGGGGTGGTGGGGGGAAGCTAAAAGGGGAAATAACACCTCTAATCCAGCTTCTGGTAAATAGGCTGCCAGCTTTTAAAATGAGTTTCCTTTCTATTAGTCAGAATATTATGCTAAGCCTTAAGCATTAGTTTTTTATGTTGCCATAGCAGCCTTATTCCTGCAGGGTTGTGACCTGCGATGATTACAGTACAAAGCTTATAGGGTCTTGAAACCCCCTTTGAAGATGAAAAGTCTTTGATGGTTTATATTTATGCAAATCTCTTAGATATGATTTACCCAACTGAGACTGAATGGAGAGATGATTAAAATTCCCTTTCCTTTGATATCCATTAATAGTTGAATATTCCTTAAATTTAAACTATATGCATATGTGATTTTTGTCTTTATTTACTAACATTTTTTCAGTACCTGCAATATGTTTATCTTGACGCAAATTACTTGATCTGGACAGACATAATACATTTACAATATAGGGCTGAAGGTTTTCCCCCCTCCTTTTTTTTTTTTTTTTTTTTCCTTTTGAAAGGGGAAAAAAATCTGTGCAAGAGCTTTTGTATGTTTCCAGATGATAGATTTTGGAATTTGGGCTACCCCACTGGCAGCTCAGAGCTAGCTGTGAACTGGTCTCATGGAAAAAATTGGCAAGCTTTGGTCTTCAAAGAATTAAACTTCCTTTTTAAGGCCTTCCTAGGTAAGCTAAAAAATTATGAAGAAAAGCCTATTGAACAAAAGGGTAACGGTGCCGTAATGAATAATACGGATGCCACTTAGAAGGCTGGGGAGCGCTTCCACTGATGGCAGTGCTGGACCTGAAACAAAACTGGACCTCAGGTACAGCAGCACTTCATTGTTTTCCAGAGCCCACAGATTTGCATTTCACTAAGCCAGGGTGAGAGGTGCTAAGCTTGGATTTTTTTTTTTTTATTTTTTTTTCCTTGCAAACCAGCCTCCAAATTTAGAAATGTATGGGAATGCTGCAGTTTCAAATCACAGGCCTTGTTAAAAGCTATTCTAATTTTTTTAGTTGTCAGGTTTTGGGGTGGGTAGGGGTGTTTGTTACAGTCAGGTGAATATTTGCCATGTTTTGTATACATGTAGACTGTCTTTTTTTCCCTCTGATAGCTCATTCTGTATAGTTTTAGTTTTCAGACAAATTCTTGCATCACCTAAAAGGCCGAACACTTGTAGAACCAATGAATTTTATCCCCTTTGTGGAAACTGCAATGGGCTTGCTGAATTTTAAGGTAAGAAAGTCTTGAAGTGTTCATAATTTGCCATCTCAGCAAATTAGGATAAGCAGAATTCTCCTCAGTCTGTCCCTGATTTCACTAAGGAAAAGAGGTTAAAAAATACAAAACATATTGTTCAATCCCCAAAAACATTTGAACTCTGATGTTTGCATTGTAAAGGCCTTCATAAATTCAAAGTATTTGAATTTATGTTCCAGACAGTTCCAGACAGTCCACAACAAATATCAAAACCTCTCTTCATTCCTGTTACTGTTTTGAGCGCACTTGGAGTGGAAAAGGGCCTCTCCAAAGATTTGGAATACTCAATGTTGCAGACAGATGCAACTTTTGTATAACACTTAGTTTGAAATAAGGGTTAATAATAATTTCACTATTGCTAAACTTGCTTCTTTATAATAGTTTCTACTAATAACATTAAAACCAAATTCCATGTTATCATTTCTTTGTATGATGGAGTGTTTAATGCTAAAATTAGAAACAGAATTAACTTTGAAAATACCTGAAAAACATGCTCATTTTTTAGGGTAATTTCAGATCAAATCTAATTTATTAATTTCATTTTAATATAAATCACTCCCCAACCCTTACTACTGAGTCCAGGTTTTTCAGAATGGCAAGGAAATGTGATAATGAAACAGAAGGGCTCATGCATGCGCAAGGAACTCTGCGTTCCCCTCCCAAGCTCTAAGGGAAAAGTTTCAGACCAGCTGAGGACACACAGATCAGAAGTACTTCCAGAAGTACCTCACAGGCAGCCTGATCGTTTGATACAGCCATTTATCTTACAGCACACACTAACCTATCTGTGAGCATGATAAAGCCATATCCAAATGGACATGCTCCTGTCCGGTGTGCAAACACAGAATTAGATCATATATTAAACCATTCAGGTTTTTCTTCACCTACAGTATTTTATAGTGGAGGTTTAATGTTGCAGTTGCTGATGCTGGCAGGAGAGTTCCTTTTTAAAGCACACTCTGTTACAGAATAATTCTGTGTCCCACCAGCTGCCATAGAGGAACACCCATTAGTAGAGCTGGTAATTGCTTGTCTTTCTCCATGTACCTTAGCCTTAAAAAATACTAATATTATCCAAAATCAATATAAAATAGCAATACTACTCTCCTCATAAAAAAGCTACAGCAGCAAAATTGTTTTACTTTTATTTTAATGCTTTTTTCTGCAGCACTTGTTACATTTTTAACTTCCTTAGCTTAATTTTAGTTATATGTAGCCAGAGACTTTAAATTGGCAATCCTTCTACCTTGTAAGGAACTTAAAATAATTGCAAACCATTCATATTATTTATTTCATAAAAGAGTTTCTGATCTTTATTTCTATTTCTCATGCAGAGAATATTGCTTGTCAAACTAATCACATTTAATACTTTTTGTTTGGTGTTAAGCAATATTTGCCAAATGATTTTTTTTTCATATTGCAACATAAATATCTGAAGAACTGGTCACAGTAACACCTGGGGCATAATGTAAAGCAGAAGGTGGGGAACCTGTTATTGATGTCCAGTATTTGCTATCTGGGTGCTTAGGGAAAGCAAAATACTTTTTCTCTTTTGCTGAGTCATTTTAAAGCACTGGGCATTGTCGAGCACCTGCAGTGGCTTTGCTTAATAGGAGCAATATTCTCGGAAGGATTTTGGTAACTCTCAGTTGCTGTAATAGCTTCTGTAGTCTCTCTGCATCCTGCATTTCTGTAGACACTGATATTCTGTTCTGTTCTCATTTGAAGGCTGTCTGTGAAGAAGCACTGAGAACAGGATCCCAGGTTGGCTTTCATTTGGATGCAGTTGTCTTTGGAGGAGAGGATTTCCGTGCCAGCATAGGTTGTTACTTGTCTCTTTACTATAAATGTTTATGTATGGCATTTGCTTTGGAGAAGTCTGTGAAATTTCTGACAGCAATAATTAATGATGCTTGAATCTGCATTTTCCATTTTCATTTTACTCCTTAATGTCTTTTCAGTACAGAATATACCACTGGCAATTTAAAACATGGTCCTTGTGTTACAGGGCACTGAGATTTTCTTGTGCTTTTTGCCAGTCAATACTAAAAGTTAATGAAAAAAAAAAAAAAAAAAAAAAAACAGACAGACAAAAAAACCCTCACCCTGCTGAGTCACTGAAATAAATTTAAAATATTGTATGCATAAGCATTCACATGCTTTTTAGAACTACATTTGAAAGTCCTAAAATTCTGGTGTCCACCACTTCTTTACATACAACTGTCACTCAGGCTTTTGACATCAAGCACAAATACACTACTGCTACATTTTGCTTTCATAAATTTATTTTAAAGATGTCATATGTCAATACAGCCACATATTCACATGAAAGCACTATTAGTCTTCCTAAAAAATAAAAAGTGCTTCACTATTTCTTTTATAAGAGGGCACTTAGCTTCTGATTTACAGACAAAAGCACAGAGCTATGAACTTCTACATTAAGAATAAGTATGTTAATGCAAAAATCAGCATTGCTTTATTTAAATATTCTTTACAGACTGAAAATGTCTATCTAAATAGTTACCTTATGGTTATTATTGTTGTTATTATTTTTTTCCCACCAGCCTTCACATGAGTACATTGCTTAGCAGATAGCCTGTGAGCACATGAAGTCTCATGAATACTTTTGCTTCTTCTCAGAAGTCATCTACCATCAATTTTTCATTCAAATATTAAAGCTTAAATATTCAGCTTAGGACATCAGTTGTGACAAGAATCAGAACCAAGGAAAGTGCAATTCTATTCTCAGTGTGAATTTTTTAACCATTTAGTTGGACCCAGTATATCAATTTGCGTAAAGCTTCTCTTGCTGCAATGCTTTTCACTGTACATGCAGTAAATAGTAAACTCAAATAATTACTTTCATTTTAGCCAAGTCAGCAGTCCTTACCAGACAAAGCTTTCACTGACTTCAGGCTTTCAACTTCTGATTTAAATTAAATCAAAATCTGAATTTATAAGTTAGTCTTTAGAGGGATGTTTCTTTTTATTTTTGCTAAAGCGGCTTTCCTTTTTTTTTTCAGAATAGTATAATTTTGACTCTACAGTATAGCCTTACATCCCTTTTCTGTTTTCTGAATCAGTTAAATAGAATCTTGAAGTTTCCCTCGTTTCTTAACATAAGAAATCTTTAAAACAGAAAGATTTAAAACACTCTTGTCAGCTTTTCTTTGTTCTCGTTATTTTCTTAGGTGCAACAAGCAGTAAGGAAACTCATGATATTCTATATGCCAGGCAAAAAATAATAGTCACAGCAAAGGCATTTGGCCTTCAAGCAGTAGACCTTGTTTACATTGATTTCCATGATGAAGATGGGCTCCGCAGGCAATCGAGGGAAGGCGCCTCAATGGGATTCACCGGTACGACTTTCTGCCGACGTCTCAAAAGAATGTGGATCTTGTTCATTTTAAATAGGTTGCTATGTTTACTGTCACTTAGACAAATAACTTGATTTTTGTTTCAGGTAATTTATTGAAAAACTCATTGGTATCAATCTCTTCTTCTTCACATTTATTACTGTGACTGGAAATTTTGCCTGAAAAGTCACAGGCTGCTTTTTGAAACCGTATGCCATGAAGCGTGTTTTGAGGAGAAGTTGGGGTAGAGGCTGTGCAGTGATTCCTCCCTTCACAGAGCACAGGAAAGGCAATCCTGTACTCTGCAATGGCTCCTCCACACCTGGAGCCCTCTCTCTTTGTTTGAACAACAGCAGCAGTTTAAAAATACTTTTTAGGAAAAAAAATTGAGAAGTAAATCTCATATGCTAGCTGCTAGGGGAAAATTTTTCTCATTGTTTTCTTTGGTTTGTTTTGCATCTCCTGACTTTTCCCCCAGTAAGTGCTGATGACACCTATGGGTGTTGGCAGACAGCAAGAGCAGCAGGCTCCTTGCCCCACAGTCCTGTAATGCAGCCTGTTACCCCGTGATTGGTGTACCAGGTCACTCGGACATCTTGTTGTGACAGTACAGCCACCAAAGATTGGGGGGTTGCAATAGAAAGAAGCCATTTGACACAGCATGAGATAATTCTAACACTCAGGACAAACACCACATTATTTTTCTCTGACCATCATCCAGGATACACATATGAGAACAGTACATCTCTTAGGTTTCTGTTACCAAAAACATGGATCCTAGCAATGCCACCCAGCAAACTTTGGTTTTACAGTTAGCTGTATATAATATTTTAAAGCACCAAACAAAAATAAGTGCCATTTTAAGTGACCTTGGCATGTCAGTGAAAGAATAGCAATCGATGCTTTTCAGCACCTTGATTTAAAAAGTCTGCTTTACTGTCTGTTGAGCTTTGGCATTTGCAAGCCCAAGTCTCATTTTGGAGCTGAAATAGTTAGTTCCTCACAGCTACATTATCCACGGCCGTGTGGACTTCCACCCTTCCCTCGGCTGCCTTTGAAGTTGGGAAAATAAAGAGAGCTGCTGAATGGTAGCACCTGCTGATGGCTACCTAGTCTCAACCAATGCTTCCTAACTTAAGGAAAGGCTTGATTTTTGAAAAAAAATAAACATCTGAACCTCCTGTTGACAGAAGATGGAGTTGCAGGTGCCTAGAACCTTTAAGAGCACTCTTTTTGAACACTTTATGTGCATTTAAATGCTTAACTGAAGCTGTCAATTTAGGAAATTTAGAAATGTTCCGCATAACCAATGCTGATGATGATTTGGACTCCACTGGCTTTATGGTGGAAGTTGTCTGACCTTAGAACAGGGTCCAGACATAAAACAAATAAAAAGGTAACGTAGCAATTTAGGGTGTAAAATTACTTTCTATCTTGGCTGTACGTGTGTCATACTTGTCTTTGCATACACAAGTAAGGATCTGTGAAAAGTACAGATTTTATTAAGGTGCTCTCACAGCACCTGCCCTTTGCCTCCTGCCTTTCTGCAGCTATCATTAACACATTTCCAAAATCCAGCAAACAACCTGACAATCAGTCCAACTGTAATTAGAGATGAGGCAATACTGACTCTACTGATTTGGTGGGGGAAAAAAATTAAAATCTTTTTGATCTAAAACAAAACAGCATTTTTCACTTTCTTCTGAAAAAAGGAAAAAATATTTCAGGTCAATCTAAAATACTTCACTTGTTCTTTTTCTTTTTTGTGCTCAGTTTATCTAATATTTTTATAATCTTTCTTGCTTGTTTTGATTAAAATAAAATCTAATTTCAAAACTGATAGCAAAATCATCTTTTTCCAAACCTATGCGAGTGGGTTTTTCCAAATCTATGTAAGTGAAACATTTTAACATTTCCAATTTCACATTCATCACAGAAAATTACAAATGGGCCTCAGCTTAATCCATGACCTTGTATAAAGCAGAAGTATGCACATTGTATTTGCCACTGACAGTCCTCTGATAATGTGAAAGTACTGAAATGTCAATCTAATAACAAATTCAAAAGGTGCAATTCTTCTAATTTTTAAATATAAGATCCCTCCCTGCTACTTTTTAAATAAAAAATCAAAATCATTGAAATCAACAGAACTGAAATTAGCATAGTCTGAGCGTTCATAGCTGGAACATTTATTTGCATGAACAGGGCTGAACTCACCACCCTCAAAAGCAATGTAAATCCAAAATATTTAGCAAAGTTGTATTGCCCTTAATGTAACCAAATAGTTTCCCTCAGGATTAAACGAGCAAAATAATATAATGAAGAACTTACCAGGTATTTCAATATTATTGCAAACCTCACTGCTTATTGCAGCCAAGTTTTCTTTTCCAATTATCTTAAAATTAGCCTGATTTTCCTTCAGTGGGTGTATAAACATAAAATCAAATGTTTTCAAATGTAAGCCAGCCAAATTAATAGTCCTTTCATATGTGTATTTATAAAAGAATATATATATCCATAGACATCCATCAAGATGTTTTACACTGCCAGTACCTTTGGACTTTAAATCAGTGTGTTGCCTATATAAATGGGCATAGTTTTAAGAATGTTTATGTAAAAAATTAGGTAAACCTTGCTATAAGCTTTAACAGCTGACTTAGTCATTATAAAAGTCCTATGCTACATGCTGAGAAAGCAGATATAAACACAGAACAGTCTAGGTGTCCTCTCTTTTTCAGTCTTTTGTAGAAGACTAAAATGACACCATCATACAGTTACCTAAAAGACTTGACAAGTATTGATTTAAAACACAATATATCAAGTGGTACTGGAAAAAGGATTTCGTGGTCATAAATTTTAATGTCTTGCAATTTTGCACTCTCTCAGTAACTTGTCAATAACAACAATTCTGTTAAAAATATTTACTTTGTTCCTGAATGGCACTGTGTCTGTTATACAGTTATTTGGATAAGTAGTCTGTGACCAAAATCAACCAAGTGCTATAAATCAAAACTTAGATTATATTCTCCCTAAATTGTTCAGTAGTGTTTTAATGATTAAAAGTATAATTTGCTACTATAGATATCTTTATTAAAAGCATGTCTTTTTACAGAAATGTTTTACATTTTAAAAAATCATATCTATGTTTTTTTTTATTTTCTTATCATTAGAGATTTACTTCAAATATAATTTAAAATATGCACAACATTTTTTCAAAAAATTTAGCTCTTAAAAGGATTTTTTAAAAAATTCTTGTACACACTTCAGTTTTTGAGTTAATTATTTAGCCGTGGAGAATTTGTTGTATTACAAATTAGGAACATCATCAGCTTATTAATTATGACATTTTATTAAAATTACTAAAAAACCTCTGAGTACACTTAAGATAAAACACATTATTTTAAAAAAAGTATTTGTATCATTTCTTTCAAAAATTATAATTCTTAATGAGGTTTAAACTTTTACTTATATTTAAGGTATTTTTTAAATAGTTGTGATATTGAAATTTCAAAGTAATATTTGTATGCCTGTAAAGTCATAAACGAAACATTGTTTAAGAAGAAATAAAATTGAGCTACTTATGGCATTTTAGAAAAGGAATGTAGCAACACTAAAGGACTACTATTTCTTTGCTCATTTATTTAAGTGGAGTTTCTTTGTACTCAAGGTTATCACTCAGACCCACTGCAGCCTGATGAAAGTAATCCCAGGGATTTTTTGCAGTGGTTATTTCATGAAAAATCGGTGTGTTCCTGCGCTCAAGCATGAGACTTCTCAGATCCAGTGATGGGCTGATTCCTAAAGTACAGCTGGCTTAATGGCAGTAAGAACACGGGAGCAGACCCCGTTGTGCAGGGAACCTCCTTAGGTCCTGACACTTCCAACTTGTCCTGGCAAAGTGCAAAAATCTCGCTCATGCACGAGGCTGCCGCGGCGGCGGGGCTGTGGGACCCTCGGGCTGCAGGGCACTGCTCACTTGCTGGCAGATTTGCAGGATCAGGCTCATCCCTCTAACTGATTTTGTTATCTGGCACTGAGCAAAGTCATTTCTTCCAAAGGAAGCTGGGAGTTACGGGAGCCTCCCTTTATTAATGCACTTTAAAAGCAAACCACAGAAATCCCACCAGTCTGTGAAATTCCCATATAAATGATCCAATAACGTCAAGCACTGCACTTTTTAAAGTGTCAGACAAATTAGACATGTATTTGTTTTAAGGTAGCTAAATTCAATCACAGATTAAAACTGATTATGTGGCTGTCTATTCACGTTTGAAAATCTCTAGTGAAAAAGACAACATCTATTTTTATTTTCTGAACTTATGTTTATACAAGAAAGGATTAAAAAAACTGCTTCATAAAGCCTCAGGGCACTGCTGGTGGTTGTTTGCTATACGAGTGACTAAATAAATATTGCAGCCTACCTGCAACTACCAATAGATGCAGTAACAACAGTTTAAACAACATTGAGGATTATTTGATGCTAAGCCAATACTGAGAATTTAGGGAATGATGCTTCGGGTACTGATAATTTTTCAGCCCTACTCTTGCCATCTTCTTCAGATCTCATTTTCTGAACACACTTTAATACAACTTATTTAAGAGTGGCTGGAGCTGTTACTTATATAGTCAAATTCAAAATGCATTATACTTAATTGTTATTGACTGCCCAAGACAAATAATTGCACCTGAAATGACTGAGAGATGTATGGATCAAAATGGGGAGGGAGGAGAAAGAATCGTGAGTTCTTTCAAACTATACTGAATGCAAGCATAGCACAAGGTATTCTTACTTTTTAAAAAATCTGTCACAAAGCTATCTGCCTGCCTTCCAGTTTTAAAAATAAAAGAAACCAAGTAAAATAATTAGTTAGAGAGCAAGAAAGTCTGCAAGACATATGAGAGCCTCAAGTGGTTGGAACATTTTGCTTGAACATCTGTTTGTCGATGCATGATTCTGGTGTTATTAATCTTCTTTGTAGGTAAGCAGGTGATTCACCCCAACCAAATTGCTGTTGTCCAAGAACAGTTCTCTCCGAGCCCTGAAAAAATAAAGTGGGCGCAAGAACTGATTTCTGCTTTTGAGGAACATCAGCGAATAGGCAAGGTAAATATTTTCTTAATATGCCATAGTGGAACCAAATTTGAATAATATTTAAGATTCTGTTAGGAAGCTTGGTGATGGCTCTTTGCTTTTATTTTACGAAGTGCTGTAACTAAGAGTATTGCTTGTGAAATCTGTCTCTGGATACTGCCTATTATAAATTTATCACTTCCCAATATATTTAGAAATAGAATGGCTATCTTTTCCTTCCTCCCCATTTTAACTTTAATTCTTGGAGTACCTGCAAATATCTACAGCATCGGAGAATTAAAACTGTGTTACTGTCAGACGAAAATATTTGCAACCAAAAGTCAGGTAGCCTGGCAGAGGACTCAGATTGCTTGCACAGATATCATTTATGGAAAGAAACAAATGCATTAGGAAGCCTTTGGTTTCTAAAAGAAATCTCTGCATTGGTAGACCTGTTTCACTTTTGGGGGTTTGATCCCTCAAACATGTCCAGTAGTAATTGAATGTACTTTTGAGTGAAACTGCTTGCAGATTGTGGTTCTTAATCATTAAAAATGGGAATGTTTTATGTGCATTTGTACCAATTGCTGGACCTGAATTTTGGATAGAGGAGAAAGCAAATTAACACTAGAATATGATTGTTCCTAATTTAGTGCATCATTGAGTCTCACGTTTCCTGCTCTGTGGGTTTCTGCTATGTAAATATTGCAGTGGTGATGCACAATCTGTCTCCACTTTGTGCCAGTAATACTTAAATTAGGGGTCGCCTGAAGGAAGATTTTATGCTAGTTGCAGCATTGTCAGTTAATTATCTTAAAGGTTATTTGCTATAATCCAGTTTGCCTCTTTTTGAAAGAAAAAAAAAAAGTTGCAGCCAAACATGTTTATCTTAGTCTTAGCCAAGCCTGGGCTAGTTAAAAAGGAAAGTCCCAATGTCAGAATGGGGAGTGCAGGTGAGTGGGAATGGTTCACAAGTGCTTGTGTGGCATTCAAGACAAATCCCTCCGGTCAAAAAGTTCCTTGTAAGACTGTGCATAGGGTCTCACTTTCACTGGTGCCATACAAATGTTTCCTGCACATTTTTTCCACTTTCTAGTGTGCTAGAAAAAAATGGGATGTCTGCCTTCCCTGTTCCCCTGCATTCCTGATGCTATGGATGTCGTGCATTAAAAATGCTGCAAAGGTCAAAATAGAAGTTATGCTTTCTTCTCAGAGTTAAAGTGTGACAAGGTATTTGCTATTGCTCTGCCCTTCTCCTTGCTGGGCTATTGCATCCCCTTTGTGGTACCTGGCTATTTCCACTCCAGCCATGACTATGCTGTTTGGGTGCTGTCCAGAGCAGTGATTTCAGGGTCACTATTAGGATGCTGTATGCCTGGATCTCTTTGTTCTCTCCACCTCAATTTTGAAATGTAGCTCTTTTCGTGCAAACTATATAGAAATAAAAAATATTTGACTGCTTCTGCCCATTGTTCCGATTTACAAGGCTTGGCTCCCTTACAAAAGGCATTGTTACAAACATACTGCTGGTACAAATGTGTAGGCAGGTAGGTACATGCAGCAAGAAAAAAGTCAAACTACTTACTCAGACAAATATTTTTTATGATGTGCTTAATACTATTCATTCAGCTGAATTTAGTGTCATAACCTCGTCTAAGGAACACCCCTGTCATATGAGCAGTCGACTAGAAGACTGGACCAAATTTAACTCTAGTCTCAGTATCACACAACCATTAAGCCAAACATGTTAAATATTGACTAATTTAATGTTGGGCAAGTGTTAGTATATAAATTTCTTTTGAAACTGCTATTTTACTGACATAATGCTGAGGTTTTTTGTTTATGTCAGCCATTCAAGGGGGGTTTATTTGGGTTTGGGTGATTTTTTTTCTCTTCATTAATGCTTTTAAAATATGTTATAAGCTTCTTTTATCAGCTGCAAGAGCAAATTTGCTGGGGGTTTGTAGTGCAGGCTATTTTTTTAACCAACCAGCTTGCACACTTCATATATTTTTGCATGTAGCCATCTATCAATAAAAAAGAACTGGCAGGTTAATATGTGAACCTCTGGATCTCGTAGCACTGTCGTATTACTGGATTTTATAACAAAAATGGAAAAATAGTTTTCCATGTAATGCTGGAAACTCATTAACTGAGTTTCTAATTTGCTATTATGACTGTGTCTGTGAGAAGAGCTTGGACGGTCTGATTACTTAATTTTTTTTCCAAAGCAAACATATCTCACTGAGGGATCCTCTCACTCCACATCCTAACGACATGCTAAAATGTGAGTAATAACTCTTCCCTTACCACCTCCTGGCAAATGCTCCACACAGCGGTTTCAGTAATCCTCGTGTCCTAATGAAACACCTCTTCTGTTTTCCTTTCCCTTTTATTATATTAAAGTCTTCATGTCAGTAGGACTAAAAATATAGCTGTGGTTAATATGGTTGAGACTTGCATGGTTTTACCATGCTATTAATCAAAGTTGAAAGCCTGGAAAAAATAAATGTGAGGGATTTGTGCAGCTGTTTGTGTGGTAGATAAGTTACTTGTCTGCAGTCTCTGGAATCATAGTTTGCTATTAATTTGATTTAAAGAGTAATGCCCTTAGTTAAAAATATTTTACTTTAAAATACAGTAATAAGCTTTTATAATCTATTCTGATTTGAGACCTACAATTACCATAATAATCTTCTTTTGAAAGAAGGCTGAACCACGCTACTTCATCGTGGACGCTGAAAAGCTTTGACATAGTAGCCCCCAAATGTGAGTACTGAGGTCAGGAAAAATTAGGCTCTCAGATGAGCACTGTGGAATTAGAGTTGCTGTGGCAGTGTCCAAACAGAAGGAAATTACAGAGCTAACCAGCTAGCCAGAAGTATTTCGGCTTGCCTTACGGAGATAGTCCTATTTGAGGTGTTCCTTTGGTTTGGTTTCTAGGTTGTTTTGCTTGTGGGGCTATTTTTTGCATTTGGAATCCAACTAAAAAAATTACATGTCCAGAAAATAAATGGTAATGCTGTATTTTGGACAAGTAGAAACAAATGTTGAAAAAGCACATTTTGTATTTTATTCAACTATTTATTAAGTGCTCTCTTTCGTCTAAAACTTTGAGATCTAAAACTGAAAAGTGCTTAAAAAGAAAAGTGTTATTTCCAGGTCATTTCAATATTTTTCCAGTAGAAATGCATTACTAGGGGATATGATTTTCAAAATTAAAATACTCATCCTAAAGAAAGCAGGTATAGCTGTTGGAAAGTCTAAATATAAGATAGATGTCGGTGTGCTCAAAAATAAAAAAAAAAAAGAAGGATGATAAACATAATTCCAGTAGTCTAAAGGACAGTTTCTGTTAGAAATTTCTAAAGCATTTGTACTATGTTAAACAGGGAAGTGATCTTATAAATACAGATTAACTGAATCTAAGGGGGTAGAGTTAGTGGGAGAAGTTATTAGCCTATTTTAAGAAAAATATCTCGCTTCGAACAATGAGGACAGAATAGTCTTTACTATTTAGTAACTCCTGAGTTTACATTGCCAGTACACTGGATACAGGACTGTATCTCTTATATAAGTAGTTAGTGTTTTTATATGACAAAAATATAAGACATTGAAAATTCATTTTTAATCCATTCAATGTGTAAATACTCAGGCACAATATCATTATTGAACTTGAAACTTCCAAATTGCCTTACTTTTAAATAAATTTCAAATATAAGGAAAAACAGAAGAATAAAGTAAAAAGTTGATTACACATTTATCTCACATAATAATTTACAAAAGCTTTCAAACACCCACATATTAAACTAGGGAATAACTGAATGCTACTGCTAAGGTCACTTGTCAGGTAAGGATTATTTAGAGTTAAGGTAAGTGTATAACAAAGCCAAACTGTAATATGGGTTGAATATTAAAATCCCATAGAGAAAATCAAAATAAATATTTGTACATGCCACATACAAATGCACAGAGTGCTTCTAAGAAGACCTTTAGCATATGTTTCTTGCATTATATTTTGTGCCATTGTATATAGTGTTCCCAGCAGCTGAGGAGTAATATATATGAACTCCAATGATTTGGCAAACTATACAGTTTCATTTACAGACCTTTCCAGGATTATGAAAAATCTTAGGAATGCATTTATTTACACAGCATCAACCCAACAAAGGAATGGAAATTTCCAGCAGTGGCTGTCTTATAATGCTCTTTGTTTAGGAATAGCTACCCCAAGCCACTGTATCTTAGAGACGATGCACCCTTGTGCTTCAGCCAGCTCCAGCTCCCACTGTCTCACAGGGAGGTCTCCCCCTACTTTCTTCCCTCTCCTGGCGGTGCTATGGACCCCAGGAGGGCTCCCCAACCAAATGGGATTCACCCAATCTCAATCCAGCCCATGGTTGCTAGGAAAGTGGGACCATGTCCAAAGGGTGCCTCTTGGAAGAGATGCACGGGAGCATCCCTCTGGCATGGGGCTGTATCAAACCCCATCAATGCACAGGGGTTCTATTGTGCCTTACAGGGCATTATATCTTTGGGCTTTAGGTAGAGCTGGGCATGAGGGAGCAGCCCAGGCCCCCACTCCCCTTGCCCAGAACAGAGTGCTGAATTTTGAGGTGCCACCAGCCAAGCTGGATCCCATCCCAGGGCGGCAGTGGCAGCACAGGGTACCTCTGTGTGTGCAGGGCTGCAGCGCTGTCAGCCCTCCCTCCGAGAGAACAGGGCATGTGCTGTCCTTTATGTTAATAGATAATGTGTATTCTCTTCACTGCAGAGGGGGGGATTCAGGAATTTGTGATAAATTCCCACTTTAAGGAGCCTTAAGAAGTCCAGGCTCAGGTGCAACTCTATGCAAAGATGAAGAGTGCTAGTGGGATTTAAGAATGGACCGTGATTATGTTGTTTGTCTTTTTAAAAAGTAGCCAAATGAAATTTTAATGTCAAAACTGAGATTGAGAGAGCTCATATTAGTACTCAAAATTTCTCTAGACACTTTTAGGATTTGAAAAAATGCTTCATAAATGTGTTTTGTG